AATTCAGGAGGCCCAGGAAGGCCTGAAGTTCGGCCTTGGACTTTGGCCTAGGTGCTTCTAAAATAGCAGTCAGTTTGGATTCAGCAGGGTGAATCCCAGCAGCATCAATTTTGAACCCCAGAAATTCAGTAGAAGGCACCCCAATCATGCATTTGTCTTTTTTGAGCTTGAGGCCTGATTTCCTGAATCTTAACAGAACAGCTCTTAGCCTTTCAGCTAGAATGTGTGTGGAGTCTCCTGCAATTAAGACATCATCAAAGTAGGGGCAAACCCCCGGTATGCCCCGCAGTGTGTTTTCCATTACGCTTTGGAAAATCCCAGGAGCGACATTCACTCCAAACTGTAGCCTTTTTACCTTAAAGGCTCCCCTGTGGGTCACAATAGTCTGAGCTATAGCAGCATCATCATCAACAGGCAGCTGTTGATACGCTTGAGCTAGGTCAAGCTTTGCAAAAACGCGCCCCCCCTTGAGGGAGGCCAGAATATGACTGACCACAGGAACAGGATAGGCATGTTGCTGCAATGCCTTATTCAGAGTGCATTTGTAGTCAGCACAAATGCGAATGTCCCCATTTGCCTTTAGAGGCGTGACAATGGGGGTCTCCCAAGGACTGGAATCAACAGGTTCTAGATTCCCTGTTGGATCAGTTTGTCTAACTCAGTGTCAATTTTACTCTTTAAAGCAAAAGGGACCCTTCTTGCTTTAATTCTAATAGGAGTGACAGTGGGGTCTAGCTTTAAGGACACAGGGGGTCCTTTGAATGTGCCCAGCTGGGGGCTGAAAACATCTGCAAATTCTTTGCAGACTTCCTGTAGGTCGAGTGTTTGTAAACTGTTGAGTCCTGTGACGTGTATCCCCAGGGCCTCAAACCAATCGAGTCCTATGAGACTCGTTCGTTCACCCCCTACTACTAATAAGTCTAGTGGACCTTCAAAACTCTTGTATTGCACGTTAAGGGTGGCCTCCCCCTTAACACACACTCTTGAATTTTGAAAATCTGTTAAACAATGTCAGAAGGCCTTAACTTGGCCTGAGTTCCACTACCGGAACAAATCTTCCTAAATGTATGCAAGGAGATAATTGAAAAGGCAGACCCTGTGTCTAGTTCCATAGATAATGGAACCCCTTGTAGCTTCACCTTGAGTGACAGCTTTTTCTTAATGGGCTTGTGTGTGCCTGTCCTAAGGATGCTTCTTCGCGAAGCACAAAACCCTACCCTATTCTGGCTGGGGAATCTGGTACCTTTCAGGCGCAGTTCTTCCTGAGGTTGTACCTTTCGTCAGCCCAGACACACAGCTGCAATGTGTCCTTGTTTGCCGCATGCCCGGCAGGTAGCGGAGCGGAACTTGCAGTCGGTTCTCCTGTGGCGACCTCCACAGCCGATGCACTTGAGCGGAGCTGAAGAGCTTCCCTTCTGTTTTTCTTCCTTCGTGGGGTGGAGACGGTCGACTTCCTCGTCCGGATCCTCCTCGGAGTTTCTTTGGACGTCTTCCTGGTGCACGGATGCAACCTCTGGACTGTTTCTGATCGGCCGCATGTTCTTGACAGCGCCGCCTGCTGCTTCTTCTGCGGTGACTTCCCTTAAGGCATCTTGGTAGGACAATTCTTCTTTAGCGAAAAGTCTCTGTTGTAGATCTCGATGCCTTAACCCGCACACGAATCGGTCCCTCAGTCGTTCTTCGAGGTCTTTGAACTCGCAGTGCTTGGCGGCCTTCCGTAATGCGGCGATGAATTCTTTGGCCGACTCACCGGGCCGTTGATCCCTCTGCTCGAAGGTGTGGCGCCATGCGATGACGGACATCTTAGGGTGGAAGTGCTCCTTCAGTAGCTTCTTCAGATCTGCGTAGCTTACAGACTCTACTGGAACAGGTGCTGCAAGGTTTTCTGCGATGTCGAAGGCGTCTTGGCCGCAAACACAAAGCAGGGTGGCAGCCTTCAAGCTCTCTTCCCTCACTTGGTTTGCCTTGAAGTAGTTCTCCACCCTGGCTACGTATGACTCCCACCGCTCTGGATGTGAGACGTCGAATTCCGAAAGCCTTCCGATTTTTGCCATCTTCAGGAGACGGGTCTATCAGCCAGCCTACCCCCGAATGCGCACTGGATTGGCGGGTAGCTGCCGAGTCGACGCCGTTCCGCCGCTCAGGACTCACTTGGGTAAGCTTACACTTCTTCCTTTCCAGGCGGTGTAAGGCAATCCCACCTTCATTGCCAGTGTTGAGTCCGTGGCGGGAAGCAGACACGAGAGCAGTTGAAGTTCTCAGTTTTCTTTATTCTGCGTTCAGCTTACAAGTAGATGGCTTCAGCAGCTCCCAAAACCTCCCAACTTTTTATATAGACATTTCCCGGGTAAATGCGATACTTTTCCCATGCCAGCACCCGCGCATGCGCACGGCGCTGGCGACAGCCTGTCTGGTCCCGGGCAGCTTTGCACCTGCCCGGGACTGCCTGCAAACGCCCGAGCCGTTTGCAAGGCTCGGGACATAACATTCATTTTAGGCATAAACAACATAGTAACAGCAGATCTTATTTAAAGAGCTATGCATGATGGGAAGTAACCTGGTGATATTTATAGTCATTAACTGAGCTTTACAATTTACCATGTTATGTAATCACAGCCTATAAAATAAATAAACCTAGCAGCAATATGGGGAATTCAAAAGACCATTATGGATCAAGACACATGTCATGCTCAATAAGATTTAAAATTTAGCCTCTTTGTTACAGCTTTTCATTCATTCATCTATTCATTGATTATGTGTCATCAGGTTGGTGTGGACTTTAGTGATCACACAAATAGATTTTTTTTCCATGATAATCCATGCCTGATCCAGCCCTTCAGATCTTCCAATAGTGTACTCATTGCTGATATAAGCCAAGCCAACCCACCCTGCTCCTGGTCATCCTCTTCTAGTCTTTCCTTTTATGTTTTCCAGCATTAGAGCCCTCTTCATAGAGCTAGGTCTTTGCATAATCTGTCTAAAGTAGGCTAATTTGAGCCTGCTCATTTGTGCTTCAAATTAAAAATATGGGCTGATTTGTTCAATGATCGATTTCCTTGCTTTCTTGGCTGTCCATGGCATTCTTTGGAGTCTAAACAATATTCTTCCTATCCTGCTTTTTCAAAGTCCAACTTTCACTTCCATAGAGTATCACAGGGAATTCCATTGCTTGCACTATTCTTTGCATGTTTAGACACATCACAGCATTTGAATTATCTTTTCCAAGGCCTTCACAGCTGCTCTACTAATTGCTAGTCTCCAGGGTATTTCTTGACTGTTCCATGTCTGAACCATTTGCTTTGCATGTTTTTCTGTTGCCACTCAATGCTGCCAAATTATTTGCCCTTAATCCTACTCTTATGATGTAGGCAGTGCTCATTTGTTTATTTGATTTACAACCTATCTTTCCATTCAAGTATGGCCTCAAGGCAACCATCACTAATTAAAATGGGGAATAGAAAAAATATCAAATATGTAAATAAGTGGATTAACTGTTAAAGACCTAGTGAAAGGAATGTAGTCTTTACAATTCTTCAAAATGCTGAGAGAATAAGATCAAACAGTATCCTGGGAAGTACAGTTACACTGAATGAAAAATGAGAAGGTCCTTCCATAGGTATCAGAAGTGACTCTCTGATGCAGAACAGCGTCTTCAAAAGGACTTTACCTGCAAATCTCAGTTGCTATAGGCAGGACCTAAGCCATTTAGGATTTCAACCATTTAAATCTTAAAATTCAAAACTGGAGACTGCTACTGCTCTGGTGAAAGTTCTCTTCCCTTATTGCCAGCCAACTACCCATATATGACAATAGCAACCAAAGCAGAGTCAGCAATGTTATTTATGATTTGACTGAAATTAATTTACCAAAACAAGATGTTTGGATTATAATCCAAAAGCTATTTTGTGAATTATTACTATTTCATTTTTTCAGCTTTCATCAATTATACCGGTAGCAATTACAACATGCAAACAAATATGGTACTAAAATACATTGACCCCAAATTTTAAAAATCATATAAAAACAATAAAACGAAACAGTGTTCCAGTAATGTACTATTAAGGTTCCATGTGACAAGATTAAAGGAAAATAGAGTATTATTTTATTCTCTCTCTCTCTCTCTCTCTCTCTCTCTCTCTCTCTCTCTCTCTCTCTCTCTCTCACACACACACACACACACACACACACACACACACACACACACACGCTCGTCTGTCACTTTTGATGAATCCAAAAGCGAGTTGGTACAAAACTAAGCTTTGGTACTGGGAAGTGTCTGTAGGACTAGATCCTAATATAGTCATAATTTTCTTTGTGCTACATTCATTGCAATTGCTCTTTTCACTCTTCATTTTCTGATTTTTGATTTATTTCTGTATGTAGATAACAATAGAATACAGCATCCATTTGAAATATCTCACTCCTTGTTCTCCTCTCTTCCTCCTGTTCTCTTCACATTCCTTGTCCCTAAACAGTTAATTAAATTTAGCAGCATGATAGGAACATCAGTAGGCAGTAGGTGACCTTATAAATGAGTATCATGGTGTTAGTCAAGCTGATGAATGGAAGGGGGGGGATAAAGGCGGGGAGGGGAGAGGAAGGGAAGAGAAGGGTGAGGTGGAAAGACAAATTTCCTGTTGCCATGGTACTCCATGCAGGATTTGGTTGCTTGTACTACTGTCAGACCAAGATTCCCTAATGGAAGTAAAGTGAGATAGAGATAGACTGAAAGACAGATTCCTTCCCTTCTCATTTTTCTCTCTTTCCTTTCCTTTCTCTCTTTCTGGCCTTAAACAGGATGTTTCCATTTCAAGCATTAGCAAATAAGGCTATTGACTGAGCTCTTAGTATGTTTGTGTATATGAATGTGTGTGTGGATCTGCAGAGATTTAAAATCCCATGCATATAATAGTAGAGAGGGAAAGGAGGGGGGAAGTGCCAGCAGCTGCTCATATTGTGGTGACGTCTGCTCCATCACCAGTCAGGGACTCGGTGAAGATATAAGGGACAGCAAAAAATAGAGGGTGAGAGACAATGAGAAACTCCTGTAAATTATAAAAGGAAGCAGGATACTATTCAGCAACTGTTCTTTGGGGACAATCATTTAACAGATTGACTTGCTGCTTCTTTGATTCTCATGCCTTTATTCCTCTGTTTTCTGACCATCTCGACATTCCCATCAGATACATCAGGAGTTCTCAAGAGGGCTTTTCCGTGCTTGAAATGATTTCTATTGGATGACACAGTTATTTTCTACACCTTTTGCTAAACCATGAAGACTTCATCTCTTCTGGGATTTCTTATTTGGTGCTTCCATCTCAAACTCCTACAAGCAGCCAAAATCTTCCAACAACAACAGCAGTTGGCTCCACCCAAAACCAGGACACCCAAAATGAATGAGTGGATGCCTTCATCTTCATCTGTTTTGGTTTCAGATTTCACATGGGTGCCTACCCTTAATTCGGATAAGGCTGAACCTGAGGGATCAGAGGCAGCAATGGCCTTCCTGTACTCTGGAGATGCCCTGAGCCTCTCACAAGTCAACTGTACCCAGAGATTTGAAATGAGGGCTTTAGGGAAGGACTCTCGCCCTCTGCCAGCCTTATATTCCTATCTACGCAGTGCTACTGACACCTTGACCCATGCCACCAATTTCCTCAATATGGTTTTTCAGACTAATGACATTCGGGAATCCAGTGTGAAAGAGGATGTAGAATGGTACCATGCCTTGGTGAGAAGTGTTATAGAAGGGGATTCTCAGGTTTACCGAGCCATATTGACTTTTGATGCTCATCCTTTGTCTTCCAAGCCCCAGATGATACTTCAAGCCACGAAGAGGAATAGTGAGATCTTACTTCAAGATCTTTCTGCCTTTTCAGAGAACCTAAGGAATTTGACTTGGGAAAACGAGTGGTACAATTTCTTCCGGTTCCAAAGGACTCCACCACTTTATAAGAGAACTCTTAGCAATGATCTGAAGACGCTAGAAACCCCCAAATGGAGCCAAGGAGATAGTTATGTGATGGATCGGGGTTATATCAAATGGTCATCGCCTTTCCTGGAATGTGAAGATGGAAAATTCTTGCCCACCTGGATGGTTACACTCTCCTCTTCATTCTACGGCCTCAAGCCTGACCTCAATCCAGAATTCAAGTGAGTGAAAGAGGATAGTGATAAGGGATGAGATTTTGATCCAAATCACATAGGATACAGGAGATCCAACACTGGATCTTCTCACATTAGACAAATATAAGCAGTTGTTAGGGAACTGGGCAGGGAATAAGTCAGATGGAGAATGTGGAGAGAAAATTTATCCAATACCCTTCTCGGTGGGGCTGAAAGTTACCATCATGTATAGACTCTAAATATATTTATCACTATCTATTTATTGCTAAAATACATATTCTACTGAGAAGCTCATCAGGATTTGCAAACAGCTGCTTACAAAAATATTGCAGAGTTAAAAAAATTAAACTCCATCTCAGAACCTGCTATTAAAAGTAAGAATAGTAATAACAATAATATGTATTTATATAAGCATATGTAAAGTACTTTGTTTTCATGGATTAATATTCATTGCTTGCACTTCTACTGGAATAGTTTAGGTTAATCTCTAAAATAGAAAGGATATGTTCAACTTTTTTAGGGGGGAAGCTGAGCTGTGATGTCTTAAAGGGTTGTACAGTAATGGGTTGTACTTAAACATAATGAGAAAGCATTCAGTGTACATTCAGAGGCAGCTTTTGATTTATCCTATAAGATTTTCCATATTCCAGGATAAATATCTGGAATCTCAATCTATCCTTCATACTCAGGTTACGAGACTGGCCTGGAAGGGAGAGAAAATATCTTGTATTCAATTTTAGCATTTATTCCTTATTTTAAAGAATATTTAAAATTCTACAGATATTAAAATTTGATATTAAATAAGTATGCTATTAAGTACTTTACAAGATGGGGTCTTAACTAAGACCCAAGAGCCTAGCTGAAGAAACAAAAGTCCCATCTGGAAGAAGACCCTGAATGAAGAGAGATGGAATGGGCTGTAGCATTTATCAGAATGGATTTCAGAGGCTACTTATATCTTTTCCTCCCAACACAAGGTACTATTCTACAGAAGTTTCTGTTTACTTATATTCTACTGATAATTTGTAATTAACAAAGGAGAAAACAGTTGTCAGTATATACATATACTGACAACTTTCTTTACTGCTTATCTAGAAGAGATTTTTAGGAGCAATAAGGAACATTCTTTTTCACAAGTTATTTGTTATTACCACATTATTCTTTACAAAGTTGATCTGTGTGTTCAAAAACTGCTTCAGTCTATTAAGTCTGATAAACCCATTTGCACAGAAATAATTTAATCATACTTTACCAACAATTACCATACTTGATTGGATTCAAACTAAGATAAGTTCACACAATAGACTTAAGTGGTGTCTATCATTGATTGGTTGGTTCACCAAAAGCATAACTAATTTTTTTTAATTAGATATGGAGGAGGTCAGAAAGAAGACTTAAAATGTCCTGAGTCCACGATCTCAATGGTAAATATCTTAGAAACCACCAGTTTAGTGTGAAATGCTAGATTCTGAATTGTTATATACCAAAAATAAATTGTAAGTGGCTGTCAAGGATGGTGAAGATGATGTGCTGAGGAAACACACCCTATTATACTCTACAGCATGAGCTTCCTTCTAAGAAGGGTTTTTGTACATATTAAGAAATCTGTGCATTTCCCCTCAATTCAGAATTAAAGGGCATATTCCAAGGCTGCTTTAGGTTAAAAAAAAGATGTGTTACATCTTTCGCATAAATAAGAACTAAATTTCTTCAGATTCTGCTGATCTACTGAAAACAATCCAGAAAGGCTATTCAGAAGTTTAAGCAGATCTTATTTTGAAGGATTAGCTTTCATTATAGAATACTACCATAGCCTATCTGATACAATCTCACAGCCGGTAGAACAGCATGAATGTCCCTACTTTGCAACTGATCCGCTCAAGTCTACAATCACAATCTGTAGGGCTAGCTATAGTTTAATTGTGGCACCGGTCTTGCACTAACAACTAACATATTCAAACAACTGCCACTGGTTTAGCAAAGATAACTGTTAATGTCTTCTGTAAATATCTACTAAAAGATAGTTTTGAGCTAGACACTTTAAATAACTGTGAATGGCTTGAATTAGATTTATTTATTAATTTCTCATAATATCCCAAAGTAGCTGCCTTTCAGGGTATTGTGGGAAATACAAGTGTTGATTCCATCCAAGAGGCCTAGAGTTGTTCTGAGGGAGAAAACATGATTGGATGAAAAATATTCCAAGTTCAGATCTCTTGTAGCCCAGGATATGGTAAATCAGTCTGAGACACTGCAAAAGCTGACACTTATTTAACAGTGGTTGTGTCAGTACAAGACACATTGCCATGATGAGCTGAACTTTGGTTTATTCACTTAACTTTATTTTACAGATTCAGAAGACATTCTGAATTATACGCTAAGCATAATGGCTGGATTAAGACAATATAATAAAATTGGGTTAACTAGTTGGAGATTCAATATGTCATTATAAATATAATTAATATTGAGGTAGATATTCTAACTTGGTATGAGAAGGCTACAAGATTTGGGCTTCAAAATCCAGATGATCACTTGACAGCAGCAGAGACATACAACACCTATAACACCTGGCTGCTGTCTTTGCTGCTATTCATGTGAATTTTTGCAACCTCCAAGATATAACAAAGTTGCATATGCTCCTTTTTATCAAATAATTCAAAACTGAGATAAGCTTATTAAAAGTACAATAGAATTTCCTTAATTTTTTCCTTAATTTTTGTTTTATGTGTGTGTATGTATACAATTCTATCTATCTCTCACTGAAACACTGACTACTTCATGTGGGGTGCCCCAGGGCTCCGTTCTGGGCCCAGTGCTCTTCAATATCTTCATCAACAATTTGGACAAGGGATAAATGGGGAAATCATCAAATTTGCAGCGACACCAAGCTAGTAGGAATAGCCAACACTCCAGAAGACAGGCTTAGGATACAGAAGGATCTGGACAGACTTGAACACTGGGCACTATCTAACAAAATGAAATTCAATGGTGAAAAAAGTAAGGTTCTACATTTAGGCAAGAAAAATAAATGTACAGGTATAGTATAGGGGGTACTTTGCTCAATTGTAGTAACTGTGAGAGGGACCTCAGAGTCCTAGTGGACAATCACTTAAATATGAGCCAGCAGTGTGCTGCAGCTGCCAAAAAGGCCAACAAAGTGCTGGGCTGCATTAACAGAGGGATAGAATCAAAATCACATGAAGTATTAATACCACTTTACAATGCCTTGATAAGGCCACACTTGGAATACTGGATCTAGTTTTGGTCACCACAATATAAAAAAAGATGTCGAGACTCTAGAAAGAGTACAGAGAAGAGCAACAAAGATGACTGGAGGCTAAAGCATATAAGGAAAGGCTGCTGGAATTGGATATGTCTAGTGTAATGAAGAGAAGGTTGAGGGGGGACATGATAGCAGTGTTCCAATATCTCAGGGGCTGCCACAAAGAAGAGGGAGTCAAGCTATTTTCCAAGGCACCTGAAGGCAGGACAAGAAGCAATGGGTGGAAACTAATCAAGGAGAGAAGCAACCTAGAACTAAGGAGAAACTTCCTGACAGTTAGAACAATTAACCAGTGGAACAACCTGCCTCCAGAAGTGGTGAATGCTTCAACACTGGAAGTTTTTAAGAAAAGACTGGACAGCCATTTGTCTGAAATGGTATACTATAGGGTTTCCTGCCTGAGCAGGCGGTTAGAACAGATGACCTCTAAAGTCCCTTCCAACTTTATTATATTATTATTATCATTGTTATTGTTATTGTTATTACATTGTGACACATTAAGTCATGTTGTAGATTATCATGTTTTTCAGATCCACGAGTCCCATAATCATGATCTTGAGCTGTGGCTGCTTTAGACGAGTTAATCTAATCATACTATGGCGTGCCACATTCAAGGATAATAGATGGTTAAGCAGACATTATTCTTCCAGAAAAACAGGGAAGCTGAGCTATTATTTTCAATGAAATGTATGTAATCAGGCCTTGTTTTGAGAAACAGGGTCAGAAGAAAGTGTATTAACTCTCTGCCATCCTCCTCACTTGACCCTTTACCGACTGTATTGTTTGTTCAATAAACAAATTAGGAAGTGCACAACTGGGCAACAACAGGCAGTAAGGTGCTAGTGGAATGATTAATTTGATCACCTTTGGGATGATCAGCAGGTTAATCCTAGATTTAAAACAAACATGAGTTAGACCTGCTGCATTCTGGTGGTTAATGCATGTAATTTACAAATTAGGCAGGGTTGAAAAGATCTCTACAAATGATACCAGCTCTGACCATACCATGCCAAAAATAGACAAATGCTAAAAACAATTTCTTTTCCCACTTATTCCATGAATTTAAGAGCCAAGTGAAGCAGATAGTGGGAAGACTGGTATTTGTGAAATGATATTTTAGATCCTTTATTCAGGATTGAGCCTGTAGTAACAAAATGAGGAGAGAGAATAAGGAAGGCAAACATCTTGTCACGAAAAGATGTTCTGAATTTTATTTCTATCAACTCTCCTATGAGAAGAGTCCCTGCTTTTTTAAAATTGTTACTTTATTTAAAAAAATGTATTTTTAGTTTAGGATTATTGACACAATCTTAAACAGTTTTGATAAATTTGTATTTGGAATGATATGTTGTAACCAAGCAACAATAATGCTACTAATAATGTAGTCATTATGAATTGTTTTCAGAAAAACATATTGGCTGCATTCTTATACACTTATCTATTGGTAATAATTACAATTTATAGAGTTACTCTAATGCAATTGCATAAGTTTACATAATACAGCAATCAGAGACTAATGTCATGGACTGATCTCTACAAAATGCTGTAGGCTAAAATCTGTTTGCTCATTTTATGATTCAAAGAAAGAATTTGTATTTCATATTGAATTACAATTTAAATACAGGTAGGTCTTGATTTATTACAATAATTCAACCTGAAATTGTTGTCACTAAGTGAACCAGTCATAAAGGATGATATCACATGACTGCACTGCTTAGTAAGGACTCTGTATGTGACTCTGACTTTTGAATTCCTGCCAGCTTCCCCATTGACTTTGCTTGTTGGAAGCCAGCAGGAGAGGTTGACAATTGCAATCATTTGACTGTGGCTTGCTGTGACATAGCATTTGTGAACTGCATGCTAAGTATCGCGAACACAATCTCATGACCGTGAGGATGCTGCAGTGGCCAGAACTGCTGTAAATTTAAATAGTTGCTGAATGAGTGATCATAATCAAGGACCCTCTGTTACTACATGTTAGCATCATTTGAATTTGAATAAATTGAGCCTCTATAGTTAGATTAAAATTCATTGCAAATCTTGCCCCCCCCCCAGATTATTTGGTAGCACAAGAAAGCATATTTTATAAATACAGCCAGGGTACTGTACAGAGACAACATGGTTTGCTGAGTTTTATCTTACTTATTTATTAAATTATGGCCATCCATCTTTCTTGATGACTTTGGGAGGTTAACAGTTAAAAACAATGTAAACAATAAAATAAAACTATAAATGAAATAAAATAGCCTAACAAATATCCACTGCAGGTTCCAGAGCTAAGAAACAGATACAGACACAGCACCAGGACCCAGGCTAGATAGTAAAACCAAATCTTCAAAACGTTATGAAAAGCCATCAGGGTTAGAACAAATCTGATCTCATGGGTAGAATTATGTCTTGTGGCTCTTTCCTGAGTCCATCAGAGATAGGATTCAGAGAATGACTTTTCTGCCAACTCTAATAGGAAAGATAAATCCAACTGGGGAGAGAAGTTTTCAGAGATAACCCAATTCCAGATCATGAAGGGCTTTAAAGTAATTACCAGCAAGCTGAGTTCTACCTGGAAGCTTTCTAGTAACCAGTGCAGTTCATGGAACAGAGGTGTCCCATGTGCTGAATAATGATGCCTATAAGTGCCCACACCACTACAGTTTAACCCAGCTAAAACTTCCAAATATTCTTCAACGGCAACTCCATGTACAGCATATAGCAGTAATTCAAACAAGAGATGACTAGGGCATGAGTGACTTTGAGCAGTGCCATTCAGTCCAGGAAAGGCACAATTGATACACTGCCACCTGCTCTTCAATTACTAGTTGTGAATCCAGAAGAACCCCAAATTGTGTACATGATCTGCCAGGAGCAATGCAATCCCATCTAAAACAACAGATGGAAAGTCCCCAAAATCAGGAGGTCTTAAAACCCAAAACCAGTTGGTCTTTATAGGATTGAACTGAAGCCTGTTGTTTTCCTTCCAGACCTGCACAGCTTCCAGACACCAAGGCAGGACTCTACAGCATCACTCAGACAGCACATGTTAGAGATTATAACTAAGTATCATCAAACTACTGATGAAATCTCTCATCCATAGTTAAATCATTGTTTGGTATGAAATGTGATCCCAATCATAGACTTGTTGTCATAGACCATTTATTTAATATACAAATTGGCCTTTGATGAATTGTTGCTTTTTGAGATCACACATGTTCATACAAATAATAGAACCAATTTGATTGAATATAAAACGATTTTCTAAGTTTTCTAAGCTTATGAAATCATCAGTCAGGATATATAAATTACAGGATTAATCTGTTAGAAAAACACATTATAGCATCACAACATATGAACCCTTTAAACATCTTTACATGATGCAATAGGCCAGTGTGAAAGAATGCACCTACTATACTGTACTGCCGTTCTACTTTCTGTAGCTAGTCACTCTTTAAGAGTATCCTGTATTTTTATGCTTTTACTCTCTGCCTTGCTGAAGGTCTTATCCATGTGCATCAGTGAAGCTGCTGTGCCCTGATATAACGCAAAGAAAGAATCTGAAGGAAGGGAGAAGGCAAGAAAGGAAGCCAAGTTGCTAATATAAAGTTGTCAACTTTTTCTGTGTCATACTGGGGTTTTTCCTCTAAAGAGTTGAACATACTTATTTGGTGATCATGGGAATAACTGATGCAAATCCTAGGTTACAAAATCTCAGGGCTAGTGAAGCTGCATCCCAAATTCTGTGTATTAACTTCACTTTTCTAATTTAAAGCAGCAGCAGCAGTATTAAAAACATACTGTATTTAGTTTGGATCAATTCCATGCTTTCCCATTCAGTAAATGTTTCAGCCTCTTCTCTTTGTCTTCTCTTATTTCTGCTACCTCCTCAGATAGGATATTATTTTGCTCATGCACATGGATTGTTCATCAGAGCAATTCTTAATACATTCCAGCCAATGGCAATGTCATCTGCAGTGATTATATGATTCCATATAATCAAGTATTAGAATTGTTGAATCCCTTCTCTCCCAAAATATGCTAAAATCATCACCTTATCTGTTCCAGAGGGGTCATGAGGCTGGATGTTAAAATTCAAAATGTTGATATAAACCAGTGTGCCACTAACGGAGGATGGTTTGCAAACACACATCAGTGTGACCTCAACAGCACCCAGGTAAGGAGAGCTTTGGAGTTCTGCTCCCAGCTATATTATCATGTCAGACTGTGAACTGGGGGGTCTTCCTTATTATTGTGCCAATCCTCTGGAACCATCTTTCCAGACATCCCTATATAAACACCACTATATTAGTGATGGAAAAGGTGTGTTTTCCAGATGTTACTGAACTACATATTCCAGGTGCCCCAAACAATGGCCATAACGTTGAGGGATGGCCAGTTTCATTTTAGCAGCATCTGGAGGACAGATGTTCCCCGTCCCATCTAATGTTCTTATTTAGAATTATGATGTAATAGAGCTACGTATACTTTAAAAATAATTCAGAAAAAGGACTTTGAACTCCACATGAGCACAGGCCTAGTACTTAGCTGCTGAGCTTATATAGTATTTTGTTGTTGTTGTTGTTTACAGGTAGTCCTTGACATATGATGGTAATTGAACCTGGCAATTACAGTCATAAGTAGTGATGATCATAAAACAGGTCATCATATGACTGTGAGATGCTGCAAACTTCCATAAATGTGGGGTGATTGCTGAGCACTCATAATGCATCCCTATGACTGAGGGGCGTGGACACTGTAACACTGGGCTATAAGTAGCTTTTAGGAGGGTCCATCATAACTTTGAATGGTCACTAAATGACAACTAATGTGAGGAATATTTATATATCTCTATCTCTATGTATTCCTTTAAATAGATAGATAGATAGATAGATAGATAGATAGATAGATAGATATTCAGATTTTTATAGACTAAAACACAAATCAAAAGAAAAATATATATATAAAGAAAAAGATGCAAGAAACAAAAAAGAGAATGAAAAATAAAAAGAAATGTTATGACTTGCAATCTTCTTTTCAACAGATAGTTACAAATTTATAATCCCTCCTCCCTCTTAGTTATTACACAAATCTTTTCAGCCTCTCACAATCTACATCTTCCTAAATCTTCAAGCCCATAAATCACTATGACATTTCTTTCATCTTTCAACAAAAAATCCACACAGCATAAGGTTTCCAGTCTTTTAGAAAACTTGTGGGTTTTTTTTTTCCTCTGACCAGGCAGGTCAGTTTTGCCATTTGTAAGAATTATGACACTTTCACAATCCATTCCTCCAACTATGGGGATTTCATTATTCTTCCTTGGGTTTTGTGGTGCTTTTGAGAAGGAGGAAGAATGATTGTTGTGCTTGCTTTCAACTCACTAAACCAGGGGTAGGCAACCTTGGCTCTTTTATGACTCGTGGACTTCAACTCCCAGAATTCCTGAGCCAGCATGGCTGGCTCAGGAATTCTGGGAGTTGAAATCCACGAGTCATAAAAGAGCCAAGGTTGCCTACCCCTGCACTAAACCAATCCCATATTTACAGAGATGACTGTTCCTGCTCTCTTAGTTCACATCCTGTATAATTTGAAGCACTACATAGCTGTCTGCTGTTCATTAAAGAATCCTGTCTCTTCTCAAGCTTCCAAGGGAGTCTGAAAAAAAACTTGTAGCTGCTTTAAGAAATTCACTCATTAATATTAATAACCTAAACTGCATGAATGTACTGTGCAAATATGTAGAGTAGCCATCAAGAAGCTGCTCTCTTCAGAATAGACAGGAGAGAATTAACTGAATTCATGAAAAAGAAATAGAACAGTGCCTTAGATCAGTTTTTCAGAACCTTGACAACTTTAACATGAGTGTTACAAAGTCCGCTTGTGATGGGTGGGGAATTCTGGGAACCAAAGTCCACACATCTTAAAAGTTGCTAAAGTTGCATAACACTATCTTACATAAGGAGCATTTCTTTTAAAGTTAACTCTAATTTTACATCTATAAAGTTGTTATATTTAGAGAAGTAAATTCTGCCTTCATTACTAAAAGCAATATTAACGGGGTGTGGTAATTTGCCATTTTTATAATGTATTTGTCTAGCAATTGTTTTAAAAATTCATTTTTTTTTCATTTTCACTGATCTTATGATTTAAAATTCCTTGCAAAAGTAATTTCCACTTTAAAACTGAAAGCTTCATTTCATTGATTGTGGATGATATCATTATTTGCAACAGTTCAATTTAAAATTGGAATATTTTCTTTTGGAATCAAGTGAAATTTTCTGCAGAGTTTACTCTAACATTCTAACATTGTTAGGAGGCTAGTTTTCTTGGATTTCTGTTTAGCCTTCCCTTTTCTTTCTTTCTCTGAGCAATCTATACTGCCTGGCTAGCTCCGTCCCAGTCAGCATGACTTTTCTTCCTCCATTATTGCCTTCTTCACAATCTTTTTCTGCATCCCTGCTTGATCTGTTTCTTTCCCTTTTCCTCTAACCTCCCCACATCGTCCATCCCCACGCATCTCACTGCTGACAAATCTGCCACCTTCAGCTGTTCTGTAGATTTGCAGCCCAGTAATGAGCATATCAGCACTGAAGCATTTTCTTATGTGTGTGAGATTGTCTGTGTGTTTCATTACGAGCACTGAACACAACTTGCAATGAATATTGATGGGCTAGGTCAGGGGTAGGCAACTTGGCTCTTTTATGACTCGTGGACTTCATGCTGGCTCAGAAATTCTGGGAGTTGAAGTCCACGAGTCATAAAAGAGCCAAGGTTGCCTACCCTTGGGCTAGGTCCTTGCTTTTAGACTTTAAAGTTGGGTTTTTCCACAGCTGTTTCTAACATGATTAAAAACAATGTTGCATTTTCTTCCAGGCTTGTAGACCAGTTAAACATAAAGAAAGGAGTGGGGTGAGTTACAGAGTTTTTTTAAATGAAAGCAACAGTTTAGTTTTCACTGAGGTAGTAATACCTTGAGCAGATACATTGTCACTTGCAAATCTTTTAGGCATCTCCAAAGCTTGCCATGATCGAAGGATTTCTTGTAGACAATAAAGCAGATGAAGATATTCTTTTGATATTCTTGAGATTTTCTCATGATCAAGCATAGGTCTGCAATATAGTCACGACTGCCATGACCCTCTCTGAAGCCAACTTAAACATCTGGTAATTTCCTTTTGATCAGCACAGGTTGATACATGGTTTTAAGGAGAAACTTGGTAGTGTGAGAAATGAGGGCAATTGTACAGTAATTGGAGGAACGCTTAGAGGTGCCCTTTTTGGCATTGGAATGAATGCTGGTCATTTCCTGCCCTCTGCTTTATATTTGTTTCCCAAATTTTCTGGCACAAAGCTGTAAAGATTGTGGTAGTACAGGTTTCAGCAATTCTACACAGGGATGGCATCAACAGTTGGGGCTTTGTTGTTCGGTGGCTGGTTCTATTTTCAGCTTCCCTTTCTTCATCCTCCTGGAGAAACTGGGCTTCTTTGTTGCTGGCCTACAACTCTTCTGTATATTGTTGCCATCTGTTCTTTACACTTTGGTCGGATACTGTAGTTCTTCCCCTTGATTATTTTTGATGATGCTTTTATGAGCAGTAAATAGTGTTTGAATCCTTTTGACTTACACAAATGCATTCCTTATGTTGCCCTTCATGCAATGCTCTTCTAGCTGCTTGCAGCACTGGAGGCAATTGTCTTTCCAGGCTGTTTCTTGGAAATCTGCATTCATACACAAGAGCCTGAGAAACTGATCAAGGGACTATGAGCAGCTAGGCAAAAAGGCAACCGATTAGGAGCACAGGTGGTGTTAACACCCAGTGAGGGAATGAAGACTTTAGAGATTAACTGCTGCTGGCTCTGGAAATGCTGCCCTCAAGAGAACTTTTGATTTCTGTATCATGTTTTACTTTACCTACAAGAAGGGCTTCTGGCATTTCCCAAAGATTGGGAAGAATGTGTTTGGGAAACAGCTAGCTCACCTCAGCCATAGATCTTTAAACTAAAACTGGAGGGAGAAGGAGACCAATTTTTAGCATGAATCCCAAGATAACAAATCAGACAAAGAGGAAGGAGGTGATGAGAAGCCAGGGACATTCAAGTATACAATAGGAGATGCAGGAAGCAAACACAAGGTCAGTCATAAAGGGCTCAAATGCCCGTACACTAGTGCTCAATGTATGGGGAATAAACAGGGAGAACTTGAGATTCTAGTACATGAGTGCAGGCATGATATTGTAGCTATTACTGAAATTTGGCTGGATGGAATCTATGATTGGAACATATTGCTAAAAGGATATAAATTGTTCAAATGAAACAGACCCAACAAAAGAGGAAGAGGAGTTGCCTTTATGTAAAGAAGTACTAAATCTCTATAGAGAGCAATGGGTGGAAGCTTATCAGAGGGAGATTCAACCTGGAAATAAGGAGGAGGTTCCTGACAATAAGAACAATTAATCAATGGAGCAGCTTGCCTCCCAGAGTTGTCAATGCTCCATCACTGAAGGTTTTTAAGAAAAGATTGGACAGCCATTTCTCTGGGATGGTATAAGGACTGCTGCCTTGGGAAGGGGGTTGGACTATAAGACCTCCAAGGTCTCTTCCAGCCCTGTGAATCTATTATTCTATGACTCTTTGCTCCTTCCAATGCTGAGAAGGGGGGAAACAGTGGAGTTCTGATTACATTAAACTACCAGAAGACATAGCATAGACCTTTTTTTCCTATGAAATAATTGGAAAAGGCAAAATCTTGACCCAATACAGATTGTGGCTTAATGCATGGGTCCCCAACCCTGGTCCATGGACGACTACTGGGCCGTAGCATGTCAGCAACTGGGCCGCACAAACAAACAAAGTCCCATCCATGGGATGCAGGCAGCACACAAAACCATGCCCCTTCCAGTCTGTGGAAAAATCTCTCTCCACATAACCGGTCCCTGGTGCCTAAAAGATTGGGAACCTCTGTTTTAATGTATCTTCTGGTCCTTTAAGTATTCAGTATGTATTCAGTAATAATGTTAGCTTTTCTTTTGGCTATAGTTGCTTCTCAGGGGATTAGTATACTCTGCAGCATTAGTGATCCATTTAGGTTTTAGGAAAAGGGGATTTGGTCATCCAACATTTGGTTAGTGTAATGCTTAAATATTCAGCCACGGATGTCCAGAGAATGAGGAGGGA